CTCTAACACTAGATCCCTCTAACACTAGATCCCCCTAACACTAGAGCCCCCTAACACTAGATCCCTCTAACACTAGATCCCTCTAACACTAGATACCCCTAACACTAGAGCCCCCTAACACTAGATCCCTCTAACACTAGATCCTCCTAACACTAGAGCCCCCTAACACTAGAGCCCCGTGACACTAGGACCCATCACCCTAATAAACCCGTCTTCCCCCACAGGTTCAATTGGGGGAGCAAGGGGACGCGCGCCTCCTGCTGGGTACGCACCGGTGCACAGCGACCCCCGGGGAGTTCGTGTGGACGCCAGGGACGGTGACGCGCGCCGTCCAGGCGGGCCACTGGCTGCTGCTGGAGGACGTGGACGCCGCCCAGCCTGACGTGGTGGCCGTCATCACGTCCCTCCTGCAGAAACGCGTCCTCATCGTCCCAGGTTGGTGCCGCCCCTCAGACTGGGGGCTGTGGAATGAGTTGCTTTTTACATAGTAACTACATTACATCGTCGTAATTAATGGAATTTCTTAGGGCGTCAATTATTACAATTACTACACATTTTAGTTATGTAAACAGCGGCGATTGTAACAGTTAGTAATATTACAATTACTGAACATTTGGCTAATTTCAAGGTTACTGTACATTGCGTTAATTTTCACTGAAACTGTAAACTTCGTAGATTATCACAGTTACTATACACTGCTTCAATTATTGCTCGCATTCTAATTATTGCTCCAATATTATTCCATCTTCCCCTGCAATGCCAACATCATTGCCGCCTGCGACGCTAATTTAATTTCTTCCTGCACTGCTAATGTTAATGCTGGTGCTGATGTTCGTTGCCTTCTGCTAAGCTAATGTCATTGCATATTGCAATTGTTATTCCCTTACGCTCTGCAATGCTAATCTCCCTCCCTCCCTCCCCCGCAGGCACGGGCGCCGTGAAGGCCCACCGCGACTTCAGGCTGCTGGGTACGCGGCGCCTGACGTCAGACGGGCGCCGTGTGGGGGGTGGCCCCGGTCAGCGCCTGGATGCCCTCTGGTGCCGGGTGCTGCTCAGGCGCCTCACCAGGAGTGAGATGATCCGCGTCCTCGACTCCAGGTGCGGCTGGGAAGGATTACTTTGTTTTAATGCTGGTTAGACTCACCTTAAGAGCCTGCATCAAAGACAGGCGAAGTCTTCTCCGAGCGTACCGGCCAAACTCGGTGTAAAATTTTCTCGGCAGCAAGGCATGGGGTCTGGCAGCACAGTTATGGTGGCAAGGAACTCATGGGGAGGGAAGGGAAAGCGATTGATTGGTGAACGAATAAATTGCGCCGGATATTATATGCACGTAACATAACACTTATGGCATGCAGGTCTTATATTGTCATATGTTAACTATCATCGCCTAAAAGTTACGTAGATAATTATCGAGTTCCTGAATGAATTGGCACAGGTTTAGAAAAGCTTGAGGCTCCATCCCCCATTTTCGCTTTCCCTGTACTGTTACAGGTTGTTTTGTTTCTCATATAACTTTTCACAGGAATTGACGACAGCTATTATTTAAAGGACCATAATCGTACAAATAGTACTTGTGTGACTATTATAGACTATTTGCCATTAATAAATCGTTAAAGAATTGACGAACAATAATTTTTTATTTAGTTCTAATATCATCCCTAGGACAATGAAGAATATTTGGCAAGAAGAATGCCGACACGGTAAATATAGACCACTGTGTAACTGAATATTTTCCGCCAGCTTTCAAGCGTTGCACCTCACCACAATCTCCCCATGCGGCCAGGAGGGTTGGTTTAGAGGAACTCAACAGTGGGGAAGCGGGGGTACGTAGGGAGGAGGCAGCGGTTGGGGACTTTACAACTACCTCCTCTAACGCATTTACATGTACACACGCACTCACACATTCGCTCTCTTGAGAGG